CAGGCCCGAGGAAAGAGCTTTGTCCTTGCCGGACTGCTGGGGCTGGGCACCTCCCCCTGCCCTCTCCTGCCTCTCCTATCCTCCATCCTGCACCCCGCGTCCCAATCCCGCATCCCTTATCCCACATCGCGTACCCCGCACCCTCCATCACACGTCCCAGTCCTGCATCCTGCAACCCGCCTCATGTACCCTGCACCCCAATTCCCAGTCCTGAACTCATATCCCACATCCTGTACCCTCCGTCTTACATCCCAATCCTGCATCCTGCATCCAACAACATGCACCCTGCATCCTGCATCCCACAAAATTTCTCTGCATCATGCATACAAACCCTGCATCCTGCATCCCGCCACCCACACCTTGCATCCCAGTCCTGCATCCCACATCATGTACCCTGTATCCCGCATCCCCATCCTGAACCTGTTTCCCACATCCTGTACCCTCCATCAGGCATCCCAATCCTGCATCCTGTATCTCACGTCCCAATCCTGCATCCCAATCCTGCACCCTGCATTCTGCATCCCAAGCCTGCATCCTGCATCCTACATCCCAGTTCTGTATTCTGCATCCCCAGCACCCAGCATCCCCATCCCAGCCCAGCATCCCCCATCCCAGCCCTGCACCCCGCATCCCAGCCCTGCACCCCGCATCCCAGCCCCACATCCCAATCCTGCATCCCAGATCCCAGCCCTGCATCCTGCGTCTCAGCCCTATATCCTGCATCCCAGCCCCGCACCCAGCATCCGCATCCCAACCGGCATCCCACACCCTGCACCCAGCATCCTGCACCCTGCATCCCTCATCCCGCACCCTGCATCCCAGATCCCAGCCGTGCATCCCAGCCCTGCATCCTGCATCCCAGCTCCACATCCTGCATCCCAGCCCCGCACCCAGCATCCCACATCCCAACCTGCATCCTGTATAGCCCTCTACCCTGCACCCCAGCCCCGCCCCCAGCATCCGCATCCCAACCGGCATCCCACACCCTGCACCCAGCATCCTGCACCCTGCATCCCTCATCCCGCACCCTGCATCCCAGATCCCAGCCCTGCATCCCAGCCCTGCATCCTGCCCCCCCTCCCCACACCCAGCATCCCACATCCCAGCCCTGCACCCTGCGCCCAGCATCCTGCACCCTGCATCCCTCATCCTGCACCATGCATCCCACATCCCAGCCGTGCATCCCAGCCCTGCATCCTGCATCCCAGCTCCACATCCTGCATCCCAGCCCCGCACCCAGCATCCCACATCCCAACCTGCATCCTGTATCCTGCACCCAGCATCCCAAATCCCAGC